TTAGATCAAGGAGCAGCTTAATAAAAAAATATCCAAATGTTGGACAATTTTCGTCTTTATTTTCACCCGAAACTAAAGCAAATATACGGGCTTTAGAACGGCTCATGATCAAACATAACAGACATTCATTGTCTTTTATATATATATATATATATATATATATATATATATGTATGTGTGTGTGTGTGTGTGTGTGTGTGTGTGTGTGTGTGTGTGTGTGTGTGTGTGTGTGTGTGTCTGTGTTTTCCTGTGCTCCTATACATATGAGAGTTTTATATTTGAATTACTTTTATACTTGTAAACGTGAAAAAACATATTTGAAAAATCGCTAAGAGGGAATCAAGCTGTTAACGGTTAAATAGAGAAAAATATCATTTTTCATATATATATATATATATATATATATATATATATATATATATATATATATATATATATAATTGTGTATTTCGTCAGCAACCCCTCATTTCATGAAAGACAACTAGCTACTGCGAATAAGCTTTTTATTCATTTTATTATTGTGTTCGTATAAGTATTTCATTTACTGGGCATAAAATGTGTACGTTATATTGGACATGCCACCACATACCTATCATGAAGACTCACGTTACATATCTCTCAATTAGAACCCATTCAAACACAAACGAAAACCTACCAAACTCTGTCCGTAATATACTCGTAGAAAATATTTTTGACGGCACGGGCACATTGCTAATCTTATTATTGTTTTATTTCTTTTGATTTCTGGTGTGTACTCATGTCTTTCCGGGTCCCGCCCAGAGACCTAAGGTCAGAAATGGGATCATGACATTTTCCACTGATCAATTAAAGAAAAAAAAAGAAAAAACAACAACACATATATTTTACATAGATAAAGCCCTTCTTAAGGTGTGGGCTGTACTCGTTAGATTTTTTTTTTTTTTGTATTTCTTTAAGACATGGGCTTCCAGGAATCCCTTCAATGAATCTACTGGTATCTTTTCCGACCAATCTGAGGGCTCTAAATACAACAGGGATTGTTGATGTTCTCATGTGCCACATATTGAGATTTCGATTTCAAGGTCATTGTGTTTTGATAGAATTTTGAAGATCTTCACAGATGCAATGCAATCTGCAGGGACTGCCATATCAATAAGGAGGCAATTTTTTGTTATTATTATTATTATCATTATTATTATTATTTGCGGTAAACCTGTCACTTAAATGTTTCGACCGGATGATGAGGGTCATATCTCAGCTCCTACCCGCAGTTTAGATACACAACACTTACCTTAGTACTTGAGCTCTTCCAATCAGTGCTACCACCCTCGCACTCCCAATGATGTTAGATATATCCAAGGTGTCTTGCGAGGCAGAATAATTACTGGAAACCGTCTCTAGTGTGCCAATCACAAAAGGGACATTTTCTGCTTGGTAAGTTTGTCCAATTTGTCCAGCCAGGTCCTGGTACGTCAGCATTCACCTGCCCCGTCTTCACACGATTCTGAATCCATTCATGGCAGCTCTTGCGCACAAGTGCCGTGTCAGGGCGATAACTCTCTAAGCCCTTGTCAGTCAAGATGGTCGTATTCTACATAAAAACTTAACTTGCTCTTTCTCTGTTTATGGCGATTATTATTATTATTATTATTATTATTATTCACTGTATGTATGATTGAGGTATTAATCCTTTTAATTTCTTTCCAAATCCGTAAAAATTAAAATGGAACAGTCGCTCACTCTCTCTCTCTCTCTCTCTTTCTCTCTCTTATATTATCTATCAATCGATCTTACCCTGTCCTTATATATCTAGCTACACCTCCACACACATAC